AGAAACATGAGTTAGGATGCACACTAAAACTCTTCATAAGGTCCTAACTTTGAATTTCATGGATGATAGTCGTTGATAAAAGAACGTTGATTAAGATTGAAGAACATATATTATTATGTTAGACTTAACAATTGTGGTAATGTTATTTTTTATTCAAGGATAGGGGAATTCAGCTTTACACTTATTTCAACGTTGAGAAAATAATTGTCAAGATTTTAGCTAGTAACGAAATCAGTAATTTTGTTGGAACATTTTTTTTTAATTTATAACTAGGAAAGGGAGAGAATTCAAAACTGATACATAATTTAGAGAGTTTGGCTAGTTCACCTGAGATGTATTGATAAAAATTCAACACTATATCCACTAAAATACTAGACCACATGCAACTTTGTTGGAAGATATGTTGCATCATTGTTTTCTTGTTGCTCGGAAGTAATCAAGAAAAATGTTCTTTGTTCACTAACGGAAATGGAAGATCCAAACTTGAGACTTAATGACAAGTAGACCGAAAGCTTGTTTGTAGCAAATCTTATTTAGACATGGAGTGTGAATTTGTGTAAAGCCACTCAATACCTCGTCACAATAACAAAATATAAAACTCGTCATTCAAATAAATTGAGCCTGGAATCTTACAAATAAAGAAAATTGCCATTACAACACAGTTGGTGAGATGTATGCCGCCTTATGCATCAATGGTTATGACTTGTGTGTCGAAAAAGATGACCTAAACAAACTCAATATGTTATCCATGGACCTAAAGCCCAAATACCCAGAATCTAAGCCCAAAATTATAGGTTTTTGGGTTATCAGCTTGTGATAAAATTATAATGGACTCCATCAGTCCAAGTCTAGAAGGCTTGGGTTGTATATACAAGTTAACTATGCGTCTGAAGTCCTTCCATTATGTTCTTAGCTAAAGATAGAGAAATTTGAAGGCAACATTTGGTACTAATTGTTTATACGTGGGGTAGAACAGTTCGTAAGCAGATCCAACTTATATAGAACGAGTTCATTATCATCAATTCACTATAGCATCTTGGTTTAATATAAATTTTTTTTCACATAACAATGTATTGTTGAATCAAAACGTCACATAAAGGTGAACACGTTGCATGTAAATTTTTCTCAGCGTGTGCAAGTCCCTTTGTTCTCAAAATTCAAATCCTTCATTAAAAAAAAAAGGAATATTGTTTGTCTAAAAGTAAAATGTTGATATTTTTTTAAATCCTTCTTCTTGGTATGAGCCGTTTGATTAAATTCAACAGTTATATATGCGTCGATGCTTAATAAATATAAATAATCATGAAAACTTGTAAAAAAATACGTCTCATGCACTTTTATGTGACGAACACAACACTACGAAAAAAAAGAGAAATGCTAAGAGCACTCCCTCAAAAGTGGGATTTTTTGACGCTTCATGTTTTTTGCATAATATTTTAGAATATTGGCACGGAATTTGACTTAAAATGTGATGTGGTAGAAAATACATGAAGAGTCATACTTTAAGAAAATCCCCTTAACATTTCTCTGAAGGAAAAAAAAATACGAAGTATTTATCCCATAATTAAAATATTAAGGTTGTTCACATGATTTTTGTCAATTTCCAAATTATTTGGGGCTCGATAAATATGTCTACCCACCACCAAAGCTATTTCCTTAGGGATAAAGGAACTAAGTAAGTGGACTAACATCATCATTGTCGGCATTATCATTAGGGCATAAGTAGGTCTTTTCAAGTACGGGGAGTGGATTATTATACTCTGATTACCTAATTTACACTAAATGGGGTAGGATTAAAGGAAAAGCTAAAATCACACAACCTGTTGGTCTAACGATACATAAACTCCACATAATTAGAGAAGATCTCATGTTCAACTCAACAACATACAAAAACATATGGCATATATTTATAGTAAGTTCGATATTAAATTGTGAGTTGTGACTCATTGCCACTTGTTAATCGATTTAAAAGAATATAGTAAAGGTTTGCCAATAAGGGCAAAACGAGACATTATGGGCTCCTTTCCAACCTGCAGTTCGCTGGAAATGCAAGGAACCCAACCCAAAAGGGGGAATGGGCAGAAAAGTAGATTCCCACTGCAGGGCTGCACATGTTACGTGTTATAGCAATGTTTTATTTGTCTGGCCTGGCTTATTGGGGGACCACTTATCTCATATTCTACTTTTCTGGCCCTTCATGATTACCTTAATTTTTAACAAAGCTATGATATCCACATCTATTTTTTATTTCTCTCATATTTTTTTGATTTTTGACCGTCGAATCGGATAAATTAAAGAAAATTAACGGATAGAAATTAACAAATGGTGTGTGAGAAGTAAAAAAGAGTGTATGAATAGCACACCCCTTCAACAATTAACAAACCCTTCTATATTTGTTAATTAATTGTACGGTCATTGTTTAGCAGGATAATTGCGTTAGTTTATATATTAAACTTGATCAAGTGGATTACTAAGCAAAAGTACTTTTTTATTCGCATTGTTGCCGGCTCGTGACGGTGCGATCAAGATTATTGTGACTAATTATAATTAGCACATGTGATCGTTCTATGTTTAATATTGTTGATAACTTGATTAGCTGTTGTTTTCATTGTTGATGTTTATTCTATGAAGTTTAGTTCGACATGAGACATACCGTGTTTTGGTTACAAGGATTAGTGTGATCTTAGGAAAAATTTAGATGAATCTTTTCTAATAATTATGGACAATTAAACGAATATCATATAGTAAAACAACATGAAACTGTGTCAAGTTGAATATAGCAAAATTAGAGCACACAACATAATCTCGATATCTCCCTATTGATGAAGCACTTTAGAATTATTTGGCAAGGTCTATAATGAGGGACTCATTTTCCCATCATTGAAAGTTTATCGTTCTTATACATGAGAATTATACAGTAATATGAACAAAGATACGATCTTTATTGGGAAATGCCCTAATTACATAAGTATAAAATATTTCAATGCCACACACGCGACATAATACTATATACGAATACAACATGAAGTACGATTAGACCTAACGTATACCGATACGATCTATATCGAACGCAATCAAGTGAGCGTATACAAAATACGTACCTTAAATTTATTTTTCAGTTAATCTCACCTCTCTATTGAATATTCAAGCTATTTGCAGCAATCACTGGTGTGGGCCCCCACTCTAAAGATCAGGGAATTAGGTTGCAGGATAAATGGGTCCATCGACAGAAACATGTACTCAATGAGAGAAAGAGAAACAGATGCCAAGGAATCATCAACATCAAAATAGTCTTAAAAGGACATTTATTGCTTAAAGGCGATAAAATAATGCAAAGGTAAGGGGATGTATAATATCTATATCAGTATCTCTCATATGACACGCGTCAAATAATAGAAGGTAGATCAACTGGGAGCACGGGCAGATGTACATTGGAACTACGACAGGTTGGGTCGACAACATTAAATGACGTCTCTCGTTATAACTCATCAAATTGTTTCAGCAGATATTTGTCATATTTTTTTACATATGTGTAATATGATTTGATTGGCGACAACAAGCTCACTAAGTTTTTTGTGACATACTTCAGAGAATAATCTGATTTTTTTTTTCATGATGTACGCTATGTTTCGATCTAAAATGCTTGTACTTTAATATTGGGACCTCCCAAAGTTCGAATCTTGAATCCGCCATTTATTGAAAATACACACTCGGTTTCAATGCAAAATTTTCCTCATTAGGGGAAATAAGAATAGCGTGTGTATATCTCAATGTCATGTTGGGGTTATCTAAAGTCATTCATATATTTCTACTTGTCTTTGTTTTATTATTCAAATATTTTATTTTTTTAGTATAACAGTACGTAATTGATTTGAAATATTAATAACATGACATCTTTCATAGAACTATCTATGAGAGTGGGGATAAAACATAAGCATGGAGAAGTTGAGCTCCATCTCCGAAAGAGAGAGTAAGCTTTGGGGCCCTTGTCATGTTGTTGGGAATCACTGTTTATTAATATCTGTTCTTCTCTTGGACTATAATGCTTTGTTTTAGAGAGTAAGATTCTCTTCTCTTTAATTCTTTCTTATTAAAGCAATCATGATTAAGTCACGTTATACCTTATGTTAACTTCTTTGTAGAAAAAAAAAGAAGAGAAAAGTAAGATAGAAGGAGAGGAGATTTAGAAGAGGAGAAAATGCTATCTTGTTTTAAAGTACTTGTGAAAAGAACCGTCACTGCAACAAATATGATAAAAAATTAAAAAATAAAAGAAAAATGGTCAAAAAAGCTCATCAACTCTTATCTGGAGATTCTGTTGTTGTGGTGGTGTGTGATTGGGAACCAAAAGATTAGTCTAAAAGCTGATTTTTCTTCCAATTATTTCAGAGCATCTTCACACAGATGTATATCATATGCCTGTACAATTATGTACACAAACACTACTTCTCCGCATTCCACAGCTGAAAACAATAGCAAAATCCATAAAAATAGCAAAAAGAAGTGTGGGAAAAGCAGTTTTGGCTTCATGGGAAGCAGAAAACTTTGGCAACTCTCTATCTCTCCACACTTCAGCCCTTAGTTAAAATCAAGAAGAAAACTTTGAGAAAAAGGGGAATAAAGGGTTTTTCTTTTTGTGGAAGAATTTGCATCAAAAGTTAATCTTGATCCCTTCATCAAAAAATGAGATTCATATATTGACACTTACCAAATTTTCAGTCCTTTTGACAAACAACAAAAGTTAAATAAAAGCTTTACAGCTCTTAAGGAATATATCAGCACTCTTTAATTCCCTAAATAATTTGACCCGTGCTTCTCCCTCTGAACCTAAGTTAGTTCGAACTCATGCTGTCATGCAAAGGTTTAAATGTTTTCCACCACTGTAGTAAAAAGCCACTTTGGTGATATATAATTGATTAATTAATTAGAATATCGCTCGGATTAAGAAAAGATGGAAAACACAAGACATAAAAGGTTGATACAGGCAAAGAACTGATGAGTAAAAGGGCAAAAATAAACTTTTATTACCAATTAAGAAGAAACGAAATTACACAAACAAGCTTAACTTTTTTTTCTCTTCAATTAGATCCACAGTTACAAAGACTTACAGTGAAACAGCAATTCTGGGAAATTATTACCTAACAGATACAGCAGAGTTTACAGAATCTAATCAATTTTTCTCCCTTTTTTTCCTACCATCTCAACATGCAAAAGAATTAGGAAGACCAATTATAATCTCTCTCACTCTCTCTCTAAGAAGGCCTAATTCTCTTGTGCCCAGCTTTTCCATCAGACTTCAAAGCCCCACTGGAATCCCCTCCCTCAGAAGAAGTATCCATGGATTTGGTGAATGAGCTTGAGAGATCACCATAAAGATCAACTACTCTCCTGATGTTGTTGTTGAGCTCTCTGATCAGACCCACATTTCTGCTTAAATTGTCAGGAATTTTGGACTCATGGTTGTGATTAATCTCATTTATCAGCACCCTGTTTTGGTCCAAGATATTCTGCACTTGCACAAAGCTCTTCTGAAATGTCTGCAGAACCTTTCCATCAATTTGTGTGCTGCCATTGCCAAGCCCTGAGAATGTGTCACCCTCCATTGATTGAATTAAATTAAATTCTTTTATTTTCTGAGGACTCGGAAAAATTAGGATCAGATCAGAACCAGTCCTGCATAATCAAGAACAAAAGAATGATGATTCAAACAAAGAAACCCCAATAAGAAATATTGGAGAAAGATGCTTTTTTTTTAATAAAATGAACTGACTTAGTGAAACATTTGGTGCACTATCGGACTAAGAAGCAGGATAAAGAAAATAGTAAAGCCCTCAGTTTGGTGCTTGCTCGACAGGGACAAAATTGTTGTTCTACATTAATTTCTTTTCTATTTTAAGTTCTCAAGCTCAACACAGACACAAGGAAAGAATTCAGATATCAGTCAGACGTACAAATCCAAATGGATAAATTATAGTACTTCTGCAAGATATCAGAAAGTCCTCGCATAAAAAATGTGAAGGTTCTCATTTTCTTCCTTTACAAGCTTTTCGTTGAACTGTTTGATGAAATCCACCTTATTCCGATGAAGGAGAAAGTTAACGGATTTGAGAACAATACCATCATCTACAGAGAGAATCCTAAGAGGAACATGAGTAGGTGCTTTAGTAAAAATCATTAGCATAAGTATGTTTATGTTGATTGAATGCCACTGAAAGCTCCTAACTTTAAGCAATTAATTAACAATTTATGATAAACTCATCAGAAAAAAAAAAAAAGAAAAAAAAAAAAAAAACTGTTCAAAGATTCATATCAGCATCAAAATATATGAAGCCGGACTTTCAACCCGAATCACCAAGATTTCAGGAAATCGGCTAAATATCACTGCACAAATGACCCTATCAAATCTAAGAAACGATTGACGAGATGGAAATTTCCGAAATTTGAAGGAAATTAACCAAAATTGAACACAAAAAAAGGAAAACGGAAGACATCCCAAAAACCCAACCCCAATTAGAGTTGTAAATTCCAAATGAAGCAAAACCTAAATTACACAAACTAAGATGGCAGTCCAATCCACCAACCCAGCAAATGGACATTAAGAAATCAAACATTTCAGAGAAATCAATATTATGTAGAAAAAGGAGGCAGAGTCGAGTCACCTCTGACGAGTTATTCAGCTATTCTGAGTCCGTCAAGCATCTCTACCCAACTTCCATTCAACAGATCGGCGTGAAAGACCAGAAAACGTTACCGAATTCAGAATTCAGAAAGCTAGGGCACCCAAATCCAACGCAGAATCGTTCGTCTTCAGATCACACTCTGACTCCCTCCTTGTATTTCTTTTCCTTTGCTGGGACTCCGATTTCACGACGCGGCAGAAAGCAGCAAACGAAGACCATCGGCAGCGACGCAGGTCCGTCGTCGATCGTCTACATGTTGGACGTCTACGCGGAGGTGCGACAAGGAAGGAGAAGGGTGAGGGCGAAGGTGCGAAGGAGAAGACGACGACGAGGGAGCAGCTGCTGCGGCTGATGTGCGAGGGTGCGTAGGAGAAGGGAGAGGACGTGATTAGAGGGCGGCTTAGCAGTCCTCTGCTTTCCGGGGGTCTCGATCTTAGTGAGTCCCTCCTAATCCCGTTAAATTTGGTCCGACGAATGACCACAAGAGTCGTTCGTTTACTGAAAAATTATATTTTTATATTAAAAATTAGTCTTAGTATTATTTACTTTTATTTTATTTTATTTTTATCGTTAAAAATCAAAATTTTTAATTTTTTTTTTTTGGAGAAAGGGAAATACATTACCCATAAATAAACAAAACATAAAAAGGGCTTAAATACACACAAAGAAAAAAAGAAAAAATGGACCCTAAAACACACAGACAAAGCCTAAAGAAAGCATTAGGACCCAGCACAAACACACCACACAACAAAAGAAACCCTAAATCACAGCTACTGTAGTTGCTCCTCCTGCCGCCAACACCTCCCAACAATTCGAAGCTATCTCCGCCACAAGGACCTGCCATCACACCATCTCGAGTCCCAGAGTTGAGGAAGAAAAAAGTCGCTCCATCCTCCACAAACTACCAAAACGATCGCCACCATAGAACAAAGGAAGCCCACGGGAAGAGAGATCCCACGAACGACAGCGCCAACAAGGATGAACAATGGGAAGAAACAACAAGGGTCAACAAAGGTGATGGTGCAAACACCCGAGCCAAAGCTCTACACACCCTCCCATGGAACAGCGACAAATCGCGGTGAAAACTGGCGAAATCGAAATTAGGATTGATGGAAAGAAAATGGAGCTATGGGGGAAATGACCGAATGAGATGGATGAAACGGGTGAACCTGATTTGAGGCTCGAGATGATGAAAACAGAGTCAAACAAAGTACCAGGAAGGAAACGGGGCTAAGGTTATTACAAAAAACCGCCAGAGAAAGAAAAAGAACAAGACAAAGGAAAATCAAGGGACTGCCACCGACCTTGCCATGGCAAGAGCCAACGGTGATGCAAAATATCAAATACAGAGTCACTCATACAGTCGGTGAGAAAGGCTCTCACTAAAGGAGAAAAGTTCCCCTTTTCATTAGTTTTGTTTAAGACTTACCTAACTTTTTCAGGCCAATCCACTAAAAGCTAGCAAACAAACGCACCCTTAATTATAACCTCTTATCTGAACATGCTTTGCACTAATGACCAAAACACGCTAAGAAAATGTAGGATAGTGATTTCCGTATTCTCGTTTTCATCTTCTGCGTTATCTACCTTATCTACCTTGGTTTTGTTCCTTGGTTATACTTTAACGAGTGTCCAGAGACAAAAAAAGAGTGCGAGAACCACTTGCCGGACGTAAGCGTACATGAGACAATTTATGTGGAAAAAATATTGACCTCCAAGGGTTCTTTTTCACAGGAGAATCAAATAACAGACATGAGTTTTGCTGTTATTATTATTATTTACTATTATTGTTGTTGCATTATTTATGATGAGATGGGAAAAGGCAGATCCCATTTCCATAAAAAGGAACCTTTTAATATGTACTAAGAAAAAACCCACCTAAGGCTCAGAGTTCCCAAAGAAGAATCTCAAACACCCAAAAATTAAATTAAAAATAAAAAAACTCAAGTCAATGATGCAAAGAAGATGAGGCCATGAGAGGACGACTACTGCACACACAAACAGCATTCTTTGATCCTTACCCACAAAAATACAAGAACTAAATTAAATCCGTTAATTCCCAAATAAATAAATTAAATACCCCAATTGGGTTAAGTTATCAACCAAAATATAAAATTTCTAAATTGGGTTTTTACAAGAAATTGAAAGAAAAAAAAAAGCAGAAACATGGACTAATTGGGAAATCAGAGGCGCATGAAAATTTGCAGTTGAAGAAGAATAAAAACTCCAGAAGTGGAAAACAATACTAAATAAACTAAGAAAAAGAATAATGCCTTTAATAAATAATTATAAAATTGCAAACACCAACAATACAAATATCTTCACAATCCAAATTTTGGGAAGAACCAAAAACTCCAAAAATCCAACAAGAAAGATTAGAACTTTGGATGAAAAACAAGAACCCGATATGGTCAATGTGTTTGCAGAAGAAAATTGAACAAAACCCATAAATTCAATATACAAAAAAAAAAACACATATAATTCAGCTAAAAAAAGAAAAGAGACATCCTTTTCTGTTTTTTTTTATTCAATCCGGTTTTCCAAATACTCAAAATAAAATATTATAAAATTCGTACCTTGGAAATCTGGAACATTAGTCTGGGAAAAGACAGAGATTGAATGAAAGAGGAGGAAGACGACGACGGAATCCGAGAAAACGTTGCAAAAGATCGGCGATTGAATCGAATCTCCGGAACAGAAAGAGAGGAGAAGAAAACAGAACACAACACCTCTGAATTCTGAAAAATTGAGAGAGAGAGAGAGAGAGAGAGAGAGAGAGAGAGAGAGTATATGTAGATTTGACAGTCACGCTCGGACCCCCCTCTCAGTGTGTAAATATTTTAGCTCCCTTAATATATTGTTAATTGTCGTATAATAGTATAAAATCCATATCCACCTGTTATTTTCTAATTTTTATTTTTATTTTTTATTTATTTTATTTTGGATTCAGTTTGGGATTTGCTTGTGTGTTTCCTCATATCCTAATTATGGTTTGTTTATTGGTCATGTTGGTGGTGATTGATGATGCAATTAATCTGCAATTGCTGCCGGAATTGAGGTATTTTTGCGATTTGAGCACATTGCTGACAACATCTCTGTTATAGTTATTTAATTAACTGTAATAAAATCGTTTAACTTACTCACCACATCTCTAATATAACTGTTTAATTCATTGACCACATCTATAACTGTAATAGAGTTGTTGGTACTCATCTCTCTGCATCACTTGAATCACTTTGTTGTACACAACCAAATGTTGCATGCAAGTTTCTCGCTCGATAAAGTCTCATTACTCTTATTAGGCGATTGTCACTAGGTAATCTTTCTTTAATTTCTCTGCAACGTGTATAACCACATTTTTCTCATTTGATACGCAACCACTTCATAATTTCTTGTAAAGTCACGGTTATTGAATCTTGTTTAATTAATAATAGTTGCCTTTTAACACCCCACCCACCCCTTATTTGGTAATTTCATGTGAATAAAAGATATGAATTGTTAACATGTAAGACATGTGTAAGATTTATCTCTAATACAGTCTATCGACTCGTCTATGTAATAATGATTAAACTTTTAGAATTTAAGAATCAACTTTTTCTAGAGTCTAAAGCAATATTAGTTTTGTGTGGATTTACATACGAGATCTATATGATAGGTACATGAAAAATCTCTTAGGTGTCGGTTTACATATGTTTTCGCTTGAAAGGACTTTTGGTTTTGTGTATGAATTAGATCCATAATTTTTAGGATGTTTTCTTTCATCTTAAAACACAATTTCCTTTCAATTTAACATATTGCACATAGTGTAATGTAATATTTACCATCTCATTCATAATGTGATGCATTTGGTACTGAAAGAGAAAAGTACACATCAACCTTACTTTAAAAGACTAAGAAAGTCAACAAAGTTATCTTTTCACTTCACGCCTCTATTTATTTATTTTATTTATTTTTTTAACAAACAGATTGGTATTTCATTAATCATCTCAAACAATACACAAGTGCCAATTGGATACAAAGATAATACCAAAAAGATTAAATTTGCAAACAAAATCATATGTCATCAATAAGAAATAAACTTGTTAACACTTAAGTAATAATTCAACCATCAACAACAATATTATTTACTTTACATAATTTAGTTTAAAAATTTAGTCTCTCTAGCATTACCTAATATACAATTAATATTAGGAAAATTAATGAAAATGACTTGAAAACTTTGAGTTTTAACGATAAAGACAAAATAAAGGGTAAAGTGAATAGTAATAGGTTTGACTTTTTAGTGTAAAAATATGATTTTTAATTAAAGTGAACAGTACCGTGGGTTTTTCGTTAAAACTCCTATTAATATTTGATAGATTTCAATTCTTTATGTCATCGATGTTGTTGTGATCAAACCCAACACTTAATAATAAGTGGTTAAGCTGGGCCAACAATTGTCGTGTTAGTGATGAACAATATTAGACCTAAAAAGTTTATCAGGTATAACCACATTAGTTAGGTTATGTATGTTCTTCTTATGCGCTCGAGTTTATATTCTCTTGAAAATGTCGTAATTATTTTTTGTAAAATTATGAATCTAAGGAAAATTATGAGTTTGGATTTTATGCTTATTAAAAAGATATAAAAGTCCTACAATCGTAATTACGGAAACCCATGTCCCAACTCTCAATTTTGTTTCGATTGTCCCCTTCGAAAATTAATAAATGAAGATAAAACTATGGTATTACACTATAAAGTCACTTCTAAAACGCTGCCAATCAGGTGAAGACGCGTATCCTGGGAGGCTCGGGAGATCTGCAAGTTTGGTTCCAAACCTAACCAGGTTCCCCAGCCTGCTGATTTGCTGCTGCTCTTCCTGCTGCAATTCTCTCAACCAATCAAAGTGGGGTGGACCCACTCTCTAATACCATGCTTCGGCAGAGGAAATTGTAACAATAGTTTATCAATTTTAACTAATTGAAGTGATGCTCTCTTAATTAAAAATTCATGATTATTGTTACCTTAACTCATCAAAACATGCAGCTTTAGTTATTTTCCTCAACTCCGTAAGACTTCCGTTCAAATGAGTCACATGCACGCACGTGAGGCTGAAATGAAGGAGCAAAAATGGAAAACTAAATGAGAAAAATTGTAGCAATAACTTAACTCAACTGGAGTCATTACTTCAATTTTCTCGACGCTTGTAATATAAATAGGGATATGCTATCTACACACTCATTTTTACTTTCTACACACTCTCTTATTTGCAATCATCGGATCGACTGCATTAAATAATATCAAATGACATAAATTAAGAAGGAATGTGTGAAAAGTAAAAAGAGTTGGATAGCACATCTCTATAAATAATATTTTTTTTTTTGGTTGAAGAATAAGGAAAAAAAAAGGGAATCCAAAAGGGACCGGCTTCTCTGACCTCCCACTTTCCGTACACTCTCATATTCTCCTATTTTGTGCGGTCACGGTTAAACCACGTCAACATTTTATATTGATTTTTTTTATAAAGATAATAAGACAAAAAACAATAGTAATATAAAATGTTAACATGATTTAACCGTGATCGCACAAATAAGAAGGGATGAAAATGTATAAGAAGTGGGAGGGCAGAGATACCAGGTCCATCCAAAAGATGTGTATCTTGTGGACACGCCAGTCAAGTATAATCTCTTGTGTTTTCCTATGTGTGACGGAGCCTACACACCACTTTCAAAATCTATTATTATGTTATTTTGTCTATGTAAAAATCGAATAAGGGATTTGTATCAAACATGGTTATGACGACAATAAAGGTGTTTGTACAACTAATTTACCTCTGTTCACTTTAACGAAAAATCATATTTTTATACTAAAAAGTTAATTCCGGTACTATTTACTTTACCCTTATTTTGTCTTTATCATTAAAATTCAAAGTTTTCAAACCATTTTCATTAATTTTCTCTTTTTTAGTAGTGTTTAGGAGTAAATTCTTTGTAATCATTTATTTATTTCTATTAATCTTTCTGCACGAGCTAACGCACATGCACGAAGTCTTTTCTTAATCGCTGTCATTATGCGCTCCTAAGTATGTGATCTTAAGTAAAATTGTATTGCATTTTAAACATTTAGTCATTTACATATGTTATAATCGGTATGCCAATGAAATAAAGCATTAGAGATCGCCACCTTACTTGAATTATACAATTAAATTACTCTGCACTTGAAATAAAGCATTCAGTCATTACTTCTGCACCTGTAAAAAAAAACAAATATAAAAGAATACGCATATGAATAAAATTAGACATCTATAAATTTTTATCATCCTGACAATATGAATTATAGTGTTTTTCTTATTAGTTAAAATCCACATCATCATCCAAGTCATTTAATGTTTAAAAATATCCGCATCACTCTTAGTCAAGACCGTTGGATTTTGTAAGGTCTAAAGACTATAAAGGAGTGTAAAAATGTTTGTCAAAATCTGTCCCTTTATCCTATCTCAACATATATGTATTGAAGTTTAACGATCCGAACCATTTATTTTATAAGTCTTGATTCATAGATCATCCTTGTAAAAATTTAATTCAATCTGAAATCATTTGCCTATTTAATTATCACGATGAAATTTCAATGTTTTTTTTTAGAACAAAGTGTTCGTCAATTTGTTTGAACTTAATTAGATGCCTCAAAATATTTATAATTTGGCTAATATTTTCTATAGATGATATATGAGGTGCAACTTGAAAAACAAACGATTTGGACCGTTAAAGTTCGATGTAGTGTAGACTCCACAACTAATCTCATTTTTTATAAAAAAGAAAAAGAAAAAGAATCATTTCCCTTAAAGACCTCCTATATACATATATATACGTACATACAAATCCAATGATCCTTGGATTTGGATACATTTTCCATATTAACAAGTCCCACGATCTATTGGTTGCAACTTAGCACGTAGCATTTGTTCTATACATACAAGTAATTCATTACCTAATAATGTCTATTATATGTAAACAACACCTTGATAGTTAGGAAGTAGGAACTAGATATGATCCCATCCAAACTTCAAATCATGTTCATGACGGCATGCATTTTTGTAATTTAGCATGAATAATGATAGGATAATTAGAGTTTAATCCAATTGCCAGCCAGATTCTCATATTATTAATCACATAAAAAAAACCATACGGACCACGTTAATTAAACTATGATTAGTACTAACCTAGGAGCACTTTAACAAGTACACTACATTATTGGGCATGGTCGTTTTCACAAGTTGATCATAAACAAATAAACAACAAGCCCATTTGGCTTTGGCTTTTTTAAGATTACTTTTTTTGTGGTTTTTTGGGAAATAAATAGAGAGAGAATAGTTGAGTACTGATCCGTGGACCATAAGCTCAGTGAGTCATTCTTAATCAGTATTTAAAACTCCAATGATTTCAATGATTATATGTAATCTCTGAAAAAATTTTAGTTATGACGGGAATACAAGTGGTACATCACGTGTTTTAATAAGAGTGGTGAGAAATTTTAATTTTTATTAACTTTTTAGCACACATATCTCACAATTTATTTAATGACACATAATATTTTATCCCGTATACTCATCACAATGAAAAATCTCTTGTAATCTCTACTATTGGTTTTCTATATAGGAGACAATCTGAAGGCAAACGTTTCAGTCTCCACCAAACACGCCAACTTTCCTTTTTTATAATGGGAATGGTGTTGGCGTCTTGTGCTGGGGAATCTTGAGATTGCTTTTTCTTTCTCGAGTTCTCTTCTTAATTTCGGATCTTACTGGAACGAGTTTTATGTAAGATTAAACTGTTACGAAGGTTTATTA